CCTTCCTCGGCCTGGGCCCTCCCCTCCGCTCCCCTGCGCCTGTACTCTCCTGGTTTCCCTTCCTCCACCTCCTGGCAGGAAAGCCCAGGGTGTGGAGTCACATCCACAAATCACACGTAGAGGCCTCTGAGCCTCTGTCTGCCCCTCCTGGGTGCCGCCCCCTCCTGTGGCGCAGAAGCGTGGGGACCAGGCACATCTGCTGCTTTCTTACCAGGTGAAGACCTCTCATGAGTGTCCCGGGAGTCCCTTCCACCCTGTGCAGGGTCTCACACATGGAGGTCCCCATCCGCGTACCCTAAATGCTGTCTGGGCAAGTCAGGTTCATACAGTGGTTCTCTCACCAAATCCCACATTCTGGCTAAAAAAGAGATGAGCGCAGAGGCGGCCACTGGGTGCTGAGGGTGCTTCATACCACTCAGAGGAGCTGAGTCAGAGCTGTCCTCTCCTGGCGGGCCAGAGGCACCAGTGCGCCGGTCTCCCCTCCTCACTCTGCCACAGGCCGGGCTGAGCGGGGCCAGCATCTGGGTGTCAAGCCTGGTCACAGTGAAAAAAGAAAAACCACTGATGGGGAAAGAAGCGTCCTTTCACCGAATCTTTAAATTTAAGCCCTCAACTGCCACCAACTTTATTTTTAATTTTTTTGAATGTTTACTTAATTTTGAAAGAGGCAGAGTAGGAGTGGGGAGGGTCAGAGAGGGGGAAACACAGAATCTGAAGCAGCTCCAGGCTCTGAGCTGGCAGCACAGAGCCCGATGCAGAGCTCGAACCCATGAACCACGAGGTCATGACCTGAGCCTAAGTCAGACGCTTAACCAAATGAGCCCCCCAGGTGCCCCCGACCGCCACTGACTTTATGAACTGTAAAAAAGAAATACAGTTCAGGGAGAGCTACAGGCTAAACACAAGACGCATCCCCAGCTGTTCCCAGAGGGTGCAGTTTGGGGGGGGGGGCGGGATTTGGGCCCCCAGAGGCCCCAAATCCCAGTGCAAAACCCCACCACACCTGAGGCCGGGGCACTGCTTGGGTGTAAGGTGGAGGGTGCAGAAAATGGTTTTGTTTCATGTTTTATTACATCAATGGCTTGAAAATTTTTATTTAACTTCAGCAAATATTAGAAATAGAAAAATGAATTCTGCAGAATTTCACAAATAAATTTTTCAATCTCCACTAACAAATGTTATCATTCAATGGCTAAGCAATTATAATGCTATGAACATTCACCACAATGAATGTGCTGATATAGAAAACAGGCAAAAAGAGACATTAAAATATTACTTACAACAGCATTATTACAACATATTTTCTTTAAAATTCCAACGTGGATTTTATCACTTCAAAAGTTATACAGCATTTCCATTATATTTGCAAACTTAACCTTATACATCTTTTAAAATCTTGAAAACCTTTTTAAGCAATCTAAAAAGCACTTAGCAAAGTTGATAGGTCTACATAATGGAATACTATCCACTCCAGCATAAATCTTAGTTTTCGGAGAAGGTGACTGTAAACACTCATTATCACACGACATGCATAGACTATACTGACCTTCCTTCTTCTGAATTGTAACATTGCTGCAATTGTGCTTTACTATCGTGAGGGGAAGCTGCAGGATCCGGGAGCGGCAGAGAGAGGATTTGTTTCTGAGCATTGCACGAGATCACTAGGTTCAGATTGGCTAACTACCTTGAGTCCACTCGAAGCAAAGGTTCACTTGATACTGAAAGCTGGACTCCTGGGTCACTAGGTTTGGACACAGGCTGGACGGGAGAGGAAGCGAGGCCCTCGTCGGGAGTGGGCTCCGTCTTTCCTTTGCTCCGGGAAGCAGGGACCCAGTTAGTGTAATGCACGGTGTGGCTTAGTTTTGGTACGCACGTATACCAATGGTACATCTGATATTTAGAGGGACAAAAATAGGGCGTAGTTGAAAGTTAAAGTGACGATGAGCACACTCAGAGTGGCGTATGATGTCTGAGGGAACGTTTACACACGGAAAACGACTCTGTATAGCCCACCGCGGAAAGCCCGTAAAACGCAACGTTTTCAGTTTCATGTTTTCATCAGAGAGGTTTGTGACCATCAAAGGGTCTTACAGGTTAAAAACTATCAAAACACCATTTTGAGGAACTGGTGTCCTGTTGGGAAGAGAGGTGCCGAGGCCACACGGTGGGTACGTGACCAGCACGATGGAGGCCTATATTCGCTGGGTGACAGAGCTACCTTACAGGATTGATCACTGTTTCAGACCAGTTAACACAATATTCAAGTAACAAGGTGTTTAAATGGGTAATTGAAAACAATTTTTACCTAACGCCTTACATACCTACATAAAATTAAATAAAACAAACTTTTAATGCAATACAATTTATATCTTTCAGGATTTCTAAACTAAAAGTTAAACTATCATTTGCTTCAATGGTACTATATTTTTGCACAATAACTTATACTTAGGAGAAATTTCCCACAAAAATATATATATAATTATGACATTCACATTGATCGTTTTTAAGAAGACAAAGCTTAAGTGAACGTTGCATCCGAAGCAGCTGTGACTGTGGACTTACGCATCCAAACACGACCTGCTGACGCACCCAAGTCTTGATATGTTAAAAAAAAGGGCTTCACATAAATAAGATCCATCACTCGGCTTTTAAAGCGAAGTGACTTCTTGCATTTACAACATCCTCGCAGAGACAGTGTAACGGAACAGTCTGAAACACAGGCTACCTCAGCCATGGAACTACGGCGGCGTCAGGCAGAGACAGCCACGTCTCTAATCTTTCTACCCTCAGGCGAATGAGGACGACGCGGCCCTGACCCGTGGAGAGAAGGCCAGAACCAGGCTGCTGCAGGCTGCCAGGTAAGCCGGGGCAGCGGCCCTTCAGGACTGGGGACCACTGGGTGCCCGGCGGCACGTAAGAAGGACGGGGCAGGACACACGGGGGCCTGGCCCTGCTGCTGCGCCCGCCACGCTTGCGAGGAAACGGCATTGAGCCTGCAAGCACGGCCACAGGGACCACTTGTCCGGGAAAAGGGCCCGGGCGTGCAGAGGGGGGCAGACCTACGACATACCGGCAGAACGAGCCCCGCTGGCGCAAACTGCCTGCCGCTGCCCCATCAGGAGGGAGGAGGCCTTGAGAAGCAGCACAGGGAGCCCCCAGCCTCGCTTCTCGCCCAGTGTCCCCTTGAAGCGGTGTGCAAAACGCAGGCCGCCTGCCCTCCGTGTCTCCCGCGCCACCTCCCGATTCCAGAGCAGGTGCACACCCGCGTGTTGGGTCACCAGTGTCGGGTGCCCCGGCCTCCTCTCCTGCTGTTCTTCACACGCTCTTCCCTGACCCCCAGACGCCGCGTGAAGGGACTAGACGATGCAAGTCAGGAAGTCCCACTTCACTCCCCTTGAGAATGACCTTTCTCTAGATTTCTAAAAATGTACAATTCCAAACAGTCTGGGTTCCTAGCTGACCCTCTTCCTAAAGAGACAGTCAGCTGACTTTAAAAAAGGTGGGGAGGGTGGGAAAAGGCAAGGTGCTTGGAAGTCAAAACACATCAAATTTTAATTGCATATTTTAAATTCTTAAGAATTCTGTTTGTGCCTTAAAGCATCTGCATTTTTTTTCTTTTTGGTATTGAAAGCAGAAGTATTTCAATGATGCAAACCTACAGCGAAAGAAAAGCTCCTTCAACATATTTAGTGCAGCTGCATGGACCGCGGGCGGCCGCAGGGTACGTGAGAGGGCGTCTGAGCTCTGCCCCTCGGCCCTGTGGCAGGTCCACAGTCTGGTACGAGACTAGGTGATTCTGGAAATCCCAGAACATTTATGAGAAGTATTTACTTGTTCCCAGTCCAACCAAAAGGCATTAGTGACCACTCTGTCCCCTGCTTCTTCTCATCTTGGTCTTACGAGAGCCAACAAGCGGGTCACTTCTCTGTCCTGTACTATGACGGAGGGAGACACAGGATGGAGTGGAGACGGTCACGTCAGCACACGAAGGACAGAGGAGGCTGTACGGAGTGACACGGCGCACCAGCAGGACGGGAACACACAGCGTAGCTCTCTGAGACCATCACCAGCGACCCCAGTCCCCTCGATGGAGCTAACCTGACATCTGAAATCTGCACTCTGTCAGAATCTGCAGCAATTTCTCCCCTGTCTCCTAATCTCAGTGATGTTATCTTTGGCAAGCAAGAAACTTTAAAGAAGAAATAAGACACTAAAACAGAAAGAGGGTGGATAACGTGGTTTGCCAAAAAGGAGAAGGCACCAAATCCAAATGCACGAGCACCAGGTGCAGTGGTGAGGACCGCGTCTCTTGGAGCCGGATGGTGGGGGGGGGGGGGGGGGGGGGGGGGGGGGGGGGGGGGGGGGGGGCCGGGAATGACAGGGCGGCACCTGTCCTGGGATCCCAGTGCTGAAAGCTGAAGGCAGAAAGTGTTGAGTCCACATTCCCTTTACGCCGATGTCCAAGGACAGTTGCTGGGAATGAGCTCTCTACCAGTCGGGAAGGGGGGAGGGCGCGACGCGAGCCAGCTCAGTTTACAAACCACAATTACACCCGATGTCCGGGGGTGGGAGCGGTCTCGGGCCGTTTGGCACGACGAAGGTTACGGCGCAGTCTGCCAACATCCTGCGATTTCCAAAGAAGCATGATACCACTTCGGTGGACGCCTCAGGAAAGAACAACAGAAACTTCCTAAAAGGCCAACAGGTCACAGTCACTCTGAAAATTACATGATGCACAAAGTAGCAGTTGCAGGCCATGCAGGAACAGAGTCGTGCCTTCCCAGTCGACTACCTGTTTGAAGCTGCTGACTGGGCAGAGCTGCCATTCGTGGGGCTCAGGAACTCCGACCCGGGTGGGGGGTCCCCAGGGTCGCGGGAGGCGTGCGGGCCACGAGACCCCGCCGGCACTGGGGCGGAGCGGGAGAGACGCAGTGGGCGCTCTGGGCAGTGGCGCCAACATGGAGGAGCGAGCACGGAATTAAGGCAGATGTAGCCGGGACTGAAGTGTATGCCTTTTTTGGTAATAGCTGCTTGTCCACAGAGATGTGATGCGGATGGCTAGGTGATGTCCTGTAATACCTGATATCTTGGATTACACAGTCGTCCATACCGAGTGCTCGAAGCCACCAGACTTCCTCAGGAAGCAGATGCGTATCTGACGTCTAGAACAGAAGCGGCCTGGGGAGAGGAGACGGAGAAAGAAAAAGAGCATCAGAGCGCAGGGGAGCAAGCCAAGGCGCTCCCTCCGGCCGGCCGAGAGGGCGGGGCGTGAGGCAGGCAGCAGGGCGAGCACGAGGGAGGCCTCTACAGCCTGGAGTCTCAGGCCCAAACCCTGCCTCTGCCGTTTTCCGTATGAGCATCCTCGGCAGCGGCGTTTCTTTTCCAGTTTCAGCTTCCTCGTCTGCAGAACGCGCGCAGTGACGACCCCCTACCCCTCACGGTTACACAGCACCCCGGGGGAGGGCCTCTCAGCACAGCACTGAGCCGGCAGTGGCACCGGGGGCTCCCGCCCTGGCTGGAGGGGGTGCCGGGGCAGCGCCCCCTCAGCCAACAGCCCCGGGCCCTGCTGGGACGCAGGGACCCACGGGAGAGGGAAGATGGCGGCGTCCCCTATAAAAGCCTCAAAGGCATTTCTAACTCTCCACTCCGAAGTATTGTACTTAGTGCTCACTGCTACCCTCATGATGTCCTTTTTTAAAATTTAAGAATATTTTAATTGTTTAACAGCTCTTCCTTAGGGTGGCATCATAATTTATGAGAAGAGTCAGTCGGATCAGGAGCTTTCTCTTCACTAGTACCACACGCATTTGGTAACTTAAAGTGAGAATCTACCTCCGAGCCAGTCACGGTTAGCATCCCCTTCCCCCGACCCCCATCCACCCCTTGCCCCGAACTGCATCCCTGTCCACCTCAGAGAACTCAGGATCTCAAAAGCTCAAAGCCCTTGGGCCACCTTCCCTTTCTCAGCCCTGAAGGGAAAAAGCCTACCGCTAACAGACCGTTATGCTACTAGAACTTCTGGCAATTCTGAAGACCTCCTCCCTCTTTGTGCAGCATTAACACATAAAATCTGAGGGCAGAAGGGGCGGGCAGGACACCAGCAGACATCTTTCTTAGCTGCTGGATTCCACAGGATACACAGGAATGAGAAATTACAGGGACGTCAATCCCTGGGCTCTGGCTGGACGGTAACCAGGCTCCTACGGCCCCGGGGCCCTGGCGGACACAGAGCAGCGACCAGTCCCTCCAGGCTCACTTCCTTCTGCAAACTACTATATGGAGAACAGAGAAGCAGGATGGTGGAGCAGAAAAGCTGGCGCCATAAAAAGAAAGGGACCGAAGAAAAGGAAATGAAGTGGGGGGGGGGGGGCAGAAATGGCTGAAGAGGGTGAGAATGTTTACAGACAAGATAAAGGTCGTACATTAAGAAGTTAGGCGATGCCACTAGTTTTGTGGAGAAGACGGAGGAAACAGACCCACTGAAGATGGACCATCAAAGCAAGATGAAGATGTGCGTGTGGTGGGAGACCAGTCGTGACTGGGCCAATGCTACCACAGACCGGGCAGAGGATTACACTGCTAATCTGATGTGCGATCAGCACAGCAAGTGGACCAGGAAGAATGGACTACCGGACTAGTCAGGAAAAAAAATAACTGTCAGTGACTGAAGCAGACATGAGAAAAGGAAGGAAAGTATATGCGCAAGAACTAGTCCCTCTCAAGCCCCGCTGGTGAGGACCCTTGGTCCCAAACTTAACAACCATATTTTTTAGGCTTAACCTTGCCAACACCTGCTATGATTAGATCTGCAGAGATTCCTAGGATTTCTGCTTCCTGGGGCTAACGCTGGAAAACACATGGAATAAAGCTTTCATTCTTGCAAATTCCAATGTTCCTTCCCTCATAAGTCTCATCTTCTCAATGCTTCCTAACTGGAGTCCAGGACTTTAGGGAAGTTCATTTGTTGCTAAAGGGGCAATACACACTGGAACCGGGACAAAAATCACTGCCAAGAGATAAACACTTCTTTCTGCTCATAAGCCGTAATGTTCCGGGGTCTCGGGCTGGGCCATGCCTGGGTGTGGCTCGGGGAAACCACTCACATAGTTAATGATATAAATTTTGTACCTTTTTCCCAAACATTTCCTGGCATAAACCTCTAAAGAGTCCATCAAAATGAGTATGTTTCCACACCCTTCTGACATATTCTGTGCGTCACGGCCCTTCCTCAAGTTGGCACAGAGGCATGGCATCTCCAGCCATGTTGTGTTGGGGGGGGGGGTGTCTCCCTTGTGAGGCACTCTGTGCTCAGGTTATGAGGGGGTCTCTTGGCTGCTTCTACAGCTAGGCTCTTGGAGCAAAAGGGGAGCAGAGACAGCACACAATGGTGATGTCACATCATTCCTGCCGGGTTTGGGGGAGCCTCAGATGAGACGGTGACTTTTCCTGGAAAGCCCAACTACTCCTTAGAATTCTGTGTTGGTGAACAAACTCACATGCAAAGTGCTTGGCACATAACTCTTACCTCTGCCCAGCCCCCTCTTCCTCCATGGGAGTGGGGGTAAATTTGGGGCCGGACGGACCGGCCGAGACGGAAACGGCAGGCGACCCTGTCACAGGAAGCAGGGAGGGAGCAGATGGGGCCATGCAGCCTCAGCAACCTTATGCCTAGTCTCTGCTAAGGCGGCGACAAATTTGTGCCGCTGACCTGGGGACGCCAGAGCGTCAGCCCCGTCCTGGAAGCTCCAGCCAACCAAGGGCCCAAGCGCTGTCTCTGTCGATATTCAAACCTGCTAGCCCCACACAACACCGGCGGCTGCATGATTCGGGATAGCAGACAGACCTGGGGCTCCTGGCTGGCTGGCCATGCGATTCACCAGGAAGTCCATTAACCCCCCATGGAGGGGCGATACGCTGTATATGACTGAGCTTTACTGACGCTGCTCAAGGCACTTCCAACTTACTGTCTTATGGCTGAGTTCTTACGAGAGCTAAGGAAGTTTTGGTAACGTGGGACATTTTGTGGCTGGAGAAAACCAGGAGAGAACTAAGAGTCCGTACGGGAATTAAAATGTGAACAAAATACTCAGTCACCAAAACTAACTGGCATCAACACACATATTAAGGTATTTATAGGCAAAAGTCAAGTCACGGAAAGAGCTGAGAGCTACAGGTATTTTTACAGCTGAGAAAGGCCATCGAAGAAGAAACTAAATATGGAGCACGGATCTATCTCAGATTTACCTCGTCTTCTTCTTCAGGCATCTTGATAGAATTATCCGGGGACTTGATAGGTTTCTGGCTACTGGGTCCATTGGTCTCTTCTTTCCCATGTTCTGCCTCCCATTCTTGTAAAACTTCATCTATGTTGAAGCGGCGTCGATAATTTACAAAAAAGTTTTTCACTTGTACCACGGATTTGTTCCCAATCACATCGGAGATTGCCTGAAAATCTCGGCCATATTTCCTGATGGCTAAGGATGTAAGAGAGCATTGTTTTTCAATACAGGATAAAAACAGTTTTTAAAACCCCACACAACTGACATTTATCCCCCACTTTCCTTTAGATCCAGGTAAGAAAAGATGTGGCGCTTTTAACCACAGGCACTATCTTGATGTGTTACATGGTGGAGAAAAAAGCAATCGAAATCTGTTTCGCAGATGACTGGGCCGGGGAGGCCCGTGTGACCCTGTCATCCAGAAACGTGCACCTCTGCTCGTGCATCCCAAGACAATGGCATCACCCAGCGGCACCCGGTGGACTTTGCGCATTCTTCTTTTCCAGGTCCCTGGGCCTAGAAGAGCTCTAACCATAAAACTCTCAGCATTCTATCTGCTGCTTTCAGGATTTTATACTTTCTGACCATTAGGAACCCAACATACTCCTAAGAGTGTGTTTCAACACTTTGAGCAGTGTGATGGGAGTGGGGCGGGGTGCGAAGCTCCCTAAAGGCACCCACGGCCCCAAACCCTTTACAAGGACTCCCCGTACCTTGTACCGCGAGGAGCTGCTCTTCCGTGGTCCAGCGTGCATTACATTTCTGAACGACCTGCATGTCCAAATGAGTTGTATGAGCATCATGCGTTTACAGGTGAGTGTGAATCTTACTTTTTCTTAGAATTTCTCAGAATATCAGAATTTCAACATCAATTAGGTTTATAAAGATTGTGTCTAGACCTTTCGATCTATGGGATGTATACTAGAAATATATTATCCAGTTACTAAATATTTTTTTAATGCTTATTTATTTTTGAGACAGAGAGAAAGAGAGAGAGAGAGAGAGAGAGGGCAGGAGGAAGGGAAGGAGACAGAGAATCCAAAGCAGTCTGAGCTGTCAGAGGAAAGCTGGATGCGGGACTTAGACCCATGAACCCGGAGATCATGACCTGAGTCAAAGTCTGATGTTCAACCGAAGGAGCCACCCAGGCTCCCCAATATTAAATTCTTAAACATATGAAACTTGGGTCTGACTTCTAAGATGATGGTTAATATAGTCCTACCTCTGGAAGCCGATATGGTTCTATTCCACCGTCAAGTTTTTCTTTGAGAGCACTGTTTGTCTGTTTAATATTCTGAATCTGAAAGAAAGAATAAAATATTTTAATTTTAAAAATGAAAAACTTTCATAAAGGTATGAAAAGAAAACAGAACTAAGAAAAAACCAAGAGCAAAGTTACTGATCTGCATGGTAGCCAAAACCTGAGGTCCCTATAGGATCCCTTCAGAGCATCTAACGAGATTCTTTAACTGACCTGCTGAGAGCAGCCGACAAGGGATGGCAGGAAGGCCGGTGTGGTGGCCACAGGGCTCCTGCACGCATAGTCCTAACTCACAACCTGAGAACACGTCACCTCTGAGCAGAGCACACATCTGAAGCCTGACACACATGACAGAGGCAGTGCCTGGCTCCCTGCCACACGGACCGAGGTGGGCGGGCCAAGCAGAAGCCTCGGAGGAGAGGTGTCTGCTCTGCAGGACGGCAGGGGCGCTCCCTGGGGCCCGGGCACCGCCTGCCCAGGCACCTGCAGCGCGGCCTTCTTTAACGAGAAGAGAGGAGAGCACTATGTCCCGAATTCTGATCAACTGTAATTCTTTATTTTCTCACAAATTAGATCTCTTCGACATTATCACATTGATCCGACATACCGAATCTTTCACTGCCCCTATCTAATCGAAAGAAAGACACGAACAACACCAATCGCTGAATTGATCCATGGCCGCTCTGGACCCCCGCACAGACTCCTGGAGGAGCGGGGACCCGGGGGGCTGCAACCCTAAGGATTTTCATTTCTGAAGAATCCCATGGGCAAAAAAACAAGCAAGGGGAGAATCCGATTCATTTTCCCAAATAAAACGTCAAAGACACCCCAGAGCAGAAGGTGCCCTCAAAAGCAGTAGCCTCATTAAGGCAAACACAGAGAGCAGGACTTCGAGAGATGGGGTTGGCAGTGAAGGGCAGCCTCGCGGACCCTTTAATAATTCTCTCCTCCTTGAACAATCTTTTCCTACGTAGACTCAGATTTCATTTTCACAGAATCCCAGTGTCACATTTTCTTTCCTGTGTTTTACTTCTTCTGAGAGGGTCACAGGGAGTGGAGATGTACAGGAGCCCGGTGGCCCCGTGAGCAGGACCAGCAGCAGGGACCAGGGAGGGACCTGTCTGCCACGAGCAAGGGCCAGGAAGCCTGCCAGACACAGAGCCCATACCAAGTCAGAACACAGACACGGCTGAAAAGAAAAATAGAGGAAATGTGCCTAAAACCTACTCTATAACAAAACCAAAACAGAAGACCTTGGTCTTCTGAAAATTGCTTTATTTTTTAAAAGGCCCAAGTCAGAAGAAAATAGACTGATACCAGAAATTTACTCACAGTAAGTTCTTGGGAAAGAACACCAAGCTCTCAGACCAGCACGGTCTCACAGAACACGCTCTGATGCGACGCTGCTCTAAAGCTGTGCCGTCTGACGCGGCAGCCACCGGCCACAGGTCACTAAGCACCTGAAATGCAGCTTATGCAGCTAAGGGACTGGACTTCTCACTTCTTTTCCTTTAATCCAAACTTAAATGTAAATAACCACACGTGTCTACTGGCTACCCGATCCAAGCGCACGATCTTAGACTCCCGCTCAGAGCTCTCGGGTATCAACCACCCGTAAAACGCTGCAAGGTTATGCCCAAGGCTATGTTCATAACTCAAGGTTATGTTCAGGGACATAAACTTGCAACAGGGAAGTGACAGGTCCTCAGAAGTCAGCTGTCCAGAATATGACCCGCCTCACAGCATCCCGGTTAGTGCGTCGTCCTAGTCATCCTGCCCGGTTGCTTACATGGGCAAGAAACCAGGTAGATACTGCACTGCGACTAAGTAACACACATTTCCCAAGGAGACCAACTCATTCACCACCTGCATTTTCTCTCTGAAATCAATAAAGAAGCAGAGATTACGTAAGTGACTACTCCGAACAACATCTGCAAATTCTGAACGAAAAGTTAGCTCTAAATTCTCTTTAACCTTCACCTCTCTTCCTAATGCATTTTCTTTATTAGAAATACTCAGAGTAAGAACAGGGTTTCGTTAGCATCATGCCAGCTGGAAAGGAAGCCAAAGCAGCAACAAGCTGGATAAGAAATAGGATATAAAGGGGCGCCTGGGTGGCTCAGTTGGTTGAACCTCCGACTTCGGCCCAGGTCATGGTCTCATAGTTCGGGAGTTTGAGCCCCACATCGGGCTCTGTGCTGACAGCTTAGAGCTTGGAGCCTGCTTTGGATTCTGTGTCTCCCTCTCTCTCTGCCCTTCCCCCACTCATACTCTGCCTCTCTCTCTCTCAAAAATAAATAACCATTAAAAATTTTTTTAAAAAACAGGGTATCAGAGTAACCAGGATTTAAAGAAAAAACACACACAAAAGCAGTCGACCTGGCCTGGTGCCTTCCCTAGGCCTTCCAGCTGAATAGGACTTTCTTTTTCCTACTTTAGTGTGTGACTGTTTCATTCTTTACTCAGAAAGACCGAAGCCACAGGCACTGGCGGCCGTGTGTCCCCGGCTCCCTTCCCGTCTCCTCTGCGGAGCTGTGGCCACAGCAGGTACAGGGGTTCCCGGAGGGTCGGCCCCACCTCCGGCCCCTCTCCCTCCCAGCACCCCCCCACCCCTGCAGAGTTGGAGGCTACAAAATGGCTTCGGAAGCTTCCAAAGGGAGGTGACAAGTGAGACGAAAAGGCCTAGATGAAGAATGGCAGAAGAGAAAATGCACAAGAGTGCGGGTCCGTGACACCACCTCTGAAAACATGGACTAGTGCCCGGAGCCACCAATGCTGGGTTTCTTGCTATCTGGTACAAATAAATCCTCAGTCGTCTCTGCTGCCATCAGTCGGGTTTTCTGCTCTTTTCCTGGGAAACTTTCCCTGGGACACCCACCCACGGAAGCATCTAGATAAAATGGCCACTTGTGCATCGGCGAGTGCATTTGCCAGCGGCCCCGACAGGCTGTCTCCCCTGGCAGCGATGAGATGGAAGCCCCCAGATTCAACATGAACTCTGAGTAGCGACCTTCAAACAGAAGAGTGCTGCTCCTGACCGTGGCCGTGAAGCCAGAGGCAGTTTTATCTGTCGTACTGCAGAGTCAGCAACAGCTACATGGAGGAAGGGTCTTGCCTTCTTTGCTCAAGAGATTAACAGGGCACAGTGAGCGTCGGGGGCCTGCTCAGCAGAGGGGAGACAGTCCCCTCACAGAGGATGACAGAAGTGTGTGGGGGCTCATGGCCCCAGTCGGAGAGCCCTTCCAGCACAAACAGAGCTCACAACGCGCTCCCTCTCTCTCTCTCTCTGTCTCTCTCGCAGCCCTCAGACAGCCTGTAAGATCAGGCAGACAAGGATTAATCTCCTCATTTGAAAAGAGGCCCAGAAAGATTAAGTGATTCTCCTCAGATTAAGGTGCAGCTGCGCCAGCAGCCAGGCCCAGAAGCCAGTCCTCTGACTGCACAGGGACGCCGGGTCCTGCTCCACGCTGCCACCCGCCAGAGCTGACAGACCAGGCCACGGACCCCTCCTCTCATCTGTGAAAGGACTGCCGGCCCTCCTGTTTACCCTTCCAAGGAACCAACAAATCAACAAGGCAAAAACAGCAAAAACGGAACCATCAGCCCACCATTCTTGAATTCCAGAGAGAGAAGCATGGGGAAGGGTGGGCACGAAGGAAGGGACAACAGTCAGCGGGGTACTCGGTTCAATTTGCATTTCCAACGTACCGTGTTAAATTAGGCTTGAGTGATGAGCCGTGGCCCATACCAGGACAAATAATGAGGAAAGGGTTATGGTAAAGTACCAAATACCCAGGGAAAACTCTGACAGAGCCCCGAGCACAGAACGCCGTAACACTGAAGAAATGACAGATCTGCGTTGGTGGGGGGTGGATCATGTTCGTGAATCACGGGGGCGGTTCTCTAGTTTAATGTTAATTCTCTGTTTTGATCTAGTCATTCAATACAATCCAATAAAAATTCCAGCAGCACTATTTTTCTGGAAACTGAGAAGGTGAATCTACATTTTCTATGGCAACACTAAGGGCCAGGAGAGACTATCTTGGAGGACTTATCACCAGGCCCAGATGCTCAGGTCTGTGAGGTCCCTGTAACTGAGGCAGGGCGGTGCCAGTAAAGATGGACAAACAGACCAAAGTGACAACAGAGAACCCCAAAGCAGACCACACGCACACGGACGCTGGATTTGAAACAAAGGTCCCCATGCACTGCAGAGGGAAAGGATCGTTGTTTCGGTAAACGGCACTGTTAACCAGATATCCACATGAGAAATAAAACAAATATCCACCCTGTATGTAACAACATACCCTAAAAACTTCCAGAGAGACAGAAGATCAAAATGTAAAGGCAAAACAACACTTTTCAGATACCAAAGAGAGTATCTTCATAATCTTAGGAAAGATTCTTAATAAAACTTAAAAGAGCACTAACTATAAAAGAAAAGAATGATAAACTAGACTACCTTAAAATTAAGGATTTCCGTTCATCAAAAGATCCCATTGAATGAGTGACAAGGCGAGCCTCAGAATGGGCAAGGAGAAGTCATTCTGACCCTCCCCCTATGGGGGAAGAGGGAGTACTTTTGCAAGGCCTGAGGACTTTTCTGTTGTCACACCTGATGGGGGCAAGGTCACAACTGCCAGACTCTAGAGGGTAAAGGCCAAGGATGCTGTTTACCATCTTACAAGGTACAGGACAACTCACAACAAGGAACTCTCCAGGCCCTAATGTCAGTGCAACAGTTAGTGAGTCAGCCCTAAAGTAGCCCAACCCAACCTCACATAAACTGACAGCACCGCTGTGGGAAACCGCCTGGCCCTGCTCTAGAAAATGCTGGACACAGGCATACTCTAGAAGCCGGCAACTCCACTCTTAGGTGTATATGCAACAGAGAGGCACACATAATGCAGCAACAGTCAGAGAAACACTGACATCAGTGTTAACTGTTAAGGGCCCCAAATGGGAAACAACCCACATGTCCAGGATTGGTGCGACGGCGAAGTGGTGGGATATTTACACAAGAGTGAGAAAGCTCACCCTGGTCAGATCTCATATGCTGAATGACGCTGCGCATACAAGAAACCGTATCATATGGCTGTATGTAAAATCCAAAATGAATAAAAATAATGTGTGGTTTAAAACGTCAGACCGGTGGCCACCAACTGGAAGGAGGTGGGTAATGAGTGAGAGGGCGACAGTGAGGCGGAGTCCCCTCGGGGCAGCAACTGAAAGGGGAGATGAGAGCCGCCTCGGGGCTCAATAGGTTAAGCGCCCGACTTCGGCTCAGGTCATGATCTCACAGATTGTGAGTTCGAGCCCTGCGTCAGGCTCTGTGCTGAGAGCTCAGAGCCTGGAGCCTGTTTCAGATTCTGCGTCTCCCTCTCTCTCTACCCTCCCCTGCTACGCTCTCTCTCTCTCTCTCTCAGAAATAAACAAACATTTAAAAAAACTTTTTTTAAAAAGAAACATCAATGTATCAGCACCTAAGATCTTCGGTTCAGTTCCTCACAAACAAAATGCCTCTCAGAGGCTTGTGGAAAGAGGACATCCAGGTATGAGGAACACGGGGGGCCCTGAGCGCCAGTGAGCCCCGACCCATGGTACCTGCCGCTTGATGGAGACCAACTCCATGTCTAGCTGCCTCAGCACCGTGGTGGCCGCAGTGGCGTTGGCAGAAACAGCCTCCACGTCTTCTTGAGAAAGAAACATTCCTTTCGGAGGTTTCCTCTTTGCTCGATTTTTAGCTTGTGTACTATGTTTCTCCTTTTTGATCTGAGGAACTGTGTCCGTAGGGGGCACCTGCGTGGTACACAGATTTGAAAAATGAGACTCCAAAATATGAAAATGCCAGATGAGCAGTAGTAAGCCTATTTTCCCAACATGGCTCTAACAGTCTGACAAACACCATGCCATCTCCTGACTGCCATCTCCATGCTAACAGGCAGTGAACAAAATACTGGCTATTGGATTCTGGCTAAACACTTTGAAGCAGAACCCCCTGCCCTCCTACATAACCACCACCTTGCTTCTATCACTCTGAGCCTCTGGCATTAAGCGGTCCGAGCTTCTGTAGTTAACACGGAAGCAAACGAGAGCTGTGTTCTCTTCTGCTGTGTTCTGTGTATACATGTGAATGCTGAGCTACTTTATCCCAACAGTTCTCAGCAAAACAGATGGACTCAGGGCCACAGAAAGATAAAAGGAGAAATTGATTCGGCACATATGTAAAATCCATTAAAATCCTTGAACTCTTTATAGACGTTTATAAACATAAACGTCCATATGCAACTATGACTTTTTTTATATACCCTCTTTTTGGATGACACTTAACTTTTAGGGCAACTGTATAATTTGCTTCAAAAATACATGCTGTCATTTGACAATGCATGACTGCTGCTAATTTTTTTTAACTGCTCTTTATGAAATGCAGTAAAATCTTGGCCAGGAAAGGATACTGTCCTGATAACAATTTTAAGAAGTTTTTCCAACAGTTCACAATCTCATCTTGTTAGTGTATTAACATTTGCTGATGAAGCGGGGATTATGTGGAGGTTTTCTGCTTCCTATCTTAAAAGCCCGAAATAAATAGGCCGTGCACACTACGATGGTGCCAGCAAGTTCCTGAACAAGTGATGATGATGCATGAAAACGTTAGTAGGCACTAAACTGCACCATCTGTGACAGCACTGTGCTGTCTAGCAGAGGTGGTCACCTACTGACCACGTGCCCGTTTTCTCAACATTTCAGAACACAAAGAAACTTAAGATAGAAATCATTTTTCTCTTTTAATCAGAAATTTTGCTACATAAGTAAGATTTACGAAACTTAAACCAAGCCTTTCCCCTTTCATTTAAAATGTCTTGCTGAAGAAGCTAATAAATAACAAAGTATCAAGACAAAGCCTCCTGACCGCAGGTACAATTTCATTTCACAAACAATCTAATTTAGCTAACGCTTCAAATGAGCTTATTATCTGGGCATTCATATAAATCCAGCTGGAATGCTATCCAGGACAAATGATCACTTTTCAGTTTGGTGATACACAGCCTACCAAGTGAGGCCTTAAAAATGTAACTAGAAGACTTTGACCCAACAGTTCAACTTCCACAAATTTGTTCCAGTGGAAAAAATTAAGTGAACCAATATTTAATGAGATCAGCATTTCAGCATTGCTTAAAATAACAAAAAAGCACAGGGGGAAACTGATAAAACCCCTAGGATTACTTAACTGAATTATGAAAGGTGGAGGATAAAATAACACACTAATAACAGCTATGTACACAAATGTATTTGACATAAAAACATGTTCAAGAAGGAGTAAATTTAAAAGGTTCTAAAAATTATATACTGAGGTCCCATTTTATGTTTTTTAAAAAGCACAGAGTCACAGCTGTGTATATGGACATTTCACAGGGGCAGTTATGTGGAAAGGGTCACGGAAATGTTAGCAGTGATTAAGGGAGATAATATTGTAACTCATTTCCCTTTTCTTCTTTTTGTTTAGCTGGATCTCCTACTTTGCCTACAAAAAGACTGTATTCTTGACGTGATTTTCACGTTTAGGAATGTCTAGACTCTTCTGTTTTCCATGCCTAAGAACAGCTGTTCTTCTCCCTTAGAACCTCCTGAGACAGAGAACTCTGAGGTGTTACTGGCGCTGTGGATACGGACTCTCTTCAGAAAAGCACTTGTATGAACTTACGTATACAGTCATAACCACACTGGGACGCAACACTCCAGCCTGAACGGGGCGCTGATGGGCACCGATGGACTCTGGGGCCCTTTGCTCCAGGGCCTATAGTGCTGTCCTTCCTGCAGGGCCCTGCCGCAGGGGTGCTGTGTTGTGGGGGCGTTCCACGCTGTGCCAAGGAGCCCTGGGTTTCCCTGGAGGGCCCTCAGGGACCCCATATATGCCTTATTCAAGCTTTATGAATGGGTAAAATAACCTAAGACGGCAACCCATTTCAAAAGGCCAGTAAGATCATCCAGGCACCCCATCGTTCTCAGTGAGGAGTTCGCAATAAAGGGATGTTATAAATATACACACAGAAAGTCACACAACTGTAGGAACTCATGGGCCTCTTGAATCCTCTGACATAAGAGTTTTCAGATGTGAAAGATAAAAAGACCCCCGTGCGAGGAGGCTCACTGCTGTAAGACTAACGCTGCTGGTTCTGAGGAGCGGGAAAACCTGCCCTGAGTCCCCGCCGCCCTCTGCAGTGCGCTCGTGACCCACTGTGCGGGCCCCTGCGCCGGCCCTCGCGAGGAGACCCTCAAGGCTGAGAGGAGCCAAGCCCTCGCCTGGACCTCACCAGTACTGCTCCAGGGCTCGCTAACTACTGAGCTAATGGCTTGGGAGAGAAGGCAGTGAGGACGGCTGCCCAGTGAGGACAAAATCGTTACTCAGTAATACTACCGCTTCCTTTATCCTGTTTCACAGCAAACAAAATTCTAAGGTCTATAAAGCAAGGTTAGTATTGTTTTAAAAGTCATATCATGATGCCTTGTACATAGCACTGAATATATTAAATAGAATAAGTAAGAGGAATGTTTTACGTATGGAACGAATAAAATTTATTTGCCTAAACAATACTAGGGAAAAAAATACCTCCTTTTTGCTTTCCTTGTTTTGATCAATCTCAATGTCAATGGGGTTATTTCCATTTGTTTCTTCCAGTTCATCCTCACTGGAAGGCAAGAACAAGTTACTGAAAGATTATTTGGTACTAATTCTATTTAATATACAAATATAAGCAATAAATTGATTTAATGACAGATTTAATATAAAATCAGTATGTTTTCAGAATGTTGAGATACACATTTTTACAGTTCAAATAAATTAAAACCAACTCCTTAGTTCTCTTAGTCTAAATAATTAAAAAACAAACAAAAAAACAAAAACAACCTACTGAAATAGGTTTCTAACTTCCGAATAAGATCTAGAACACTGCTGCTTTATATCTGTAAAATGCTTCTTCTCAACTCTCAACAGAAAAAAAAAAGATCAAATTTAAGGGGTTTATGTAATCACCCCATAATTATCTTGTGGTGGGCTAGGACAAGATCATTACACGTAACTGAGAAATTACTCAAGAATAAAGTCCCCTCGCACTGGGAACAAATCCCCAATGAGTGATATTCCACTTCAAGTCCCAAGTACATGCTCATGACTCAACCCAAGTGCAAGGATGGGAGAGCCTTTCGGCGGCCTGGATAAACCAAGATTTTCAATCAGGTTAATTTAAAAAAAAAAAATTCACGTTAATATGGTACTTTAAATGCTTTCGTTTATAGCTTTCCGTGTATTTTTTTTTTTAAAGAGCTGCGTAGTAGAGCCTTTACTTTTTGAAAAGAAAACTGAGGTTCACGGACGCCAAGCACAGCTTGCCCCAGTTCCACCAGTCACAGCCAGCTTACTGTCCCGCTGTCCCCGGGACCTTCCCACACGCGGGACCTTCCCACCCGCTCGCTGGCCAAGGAGAGAGAGTCCAAAAGGAGAGGGAAGGAGAGGGAGCCGGGGCTGAGGGACAGGTCTGACAAGTGCCCTTGGGGTTCGTGCGCAGGGAAGCAGGGGGAGGGGAGTGGGGAGATGAGAGCAGTCGATGTTCTTACTGTCTCATACTCAGGGACAAAACAAACCCCAACCTATTCTTTTATTTCACTCTAATTTTAGGTTGGTAGAGTACAGCTGTCTCCAGTAGGAGGCTTCATTTATGAAGAGTAAAGGAGTCCTAACGTATAATGGAAGTAAACTTTCTTAATCAAAAGTTATTGGAACATTAAAAACAAGCTCAGCAGTGTTTGCCACTCTGATTACGAAGAGCACTACACCAAAACCAGGCCCGCCGGTATGTGAGCTGCAGAGCACACAGCGCGCAGACGCACCAAGGCCAACAGCTCTACAGACCCTCACAGCTGGAGCGAGCTTGGCAGACGTCCCCACCGTCGCCCCCACTTTACAGCTGGGCCCACGGACGTGAACTCTCCAGAAGTGATACTACCGATTTGTTCCAACGTTATTCTATTTAAAATCATAAAACACTCTCCTGAGATGGGGCCATGGAGATCAGATAGTCTGTCTCCCTTCACTTTATTTGTATGATTAATTTTAAAAAACAACATTACAGGGGCGCCTGGGTGGTTCGGTCGTTGGAGTGTCTGACTTTGGCTCAGGTCATGGTGCCGCAGTTTGTGAGTTTGAGCCCCATGTCAGGGCTCACAGCACAGAGCCTGCTTCAGATCCTCTGTCCCCAACTTTCTCTGCCCCTCCTCCACTGGTTCTCTCTCTCTCTCAATAAATAAATGAATTACTTAATTAAAAAAATTAAAAAATAGCATTGCAGAAAATGTGGAAAACAAATTTCCAAAAGCCACCTATGGTGCCGCCAACCCAACACAAGAACCGCCATGTCTGCTTGCTGCCTTCCAGACGTGGAGCTTCTTCATTTTAGAGTCGAGGAGGTGGAGGCTCGGGGAAGGGACGTGTTGAACCAACCCGCGTGTGAGTCCGCAGAATCTCTGGAGTGAGACTCCCCCTGCCTCTGCGCGGGAGCACAGGGCCACCCCGCTGCTCTGCGTCATCTAGAAGACCGGGGAGTGCTGGCTCGGACGCATCTTACCACCAAGCTATCCCTACAACTGGTGTCCTTATGAAGAAGAGATCACAACATGTTTCGCTCCCTCTCGCTCCCATACACAACGCAGATGGTTTAAAAAGGGATGAGGGAAACCTAAACTGTACTGTCATCTTCTAACACACCAGACCTAAATACGGGGCAGGTAAATCTTGTGTAAGCATACCCAAAAAAATTCGACCTAGGAAATCATGGATTTCCTTCTTATTAAAAGGAGACACCCTTCAGGGGCACGAAAGAATATGTGGAAAAGTTCGCTCATTCAAACTGGAAGTTTGCTGAATGCAGGAAGAGAGTGGTAAGAAACAAGCCCCTGAACACACGGCTCAGGGACGGGAGCCGCGGGATAGCTGTGTACATCTGGCCCCACCAGGACGGCATCTGGAGAAAATCCATCAGTCTCCCTTTCTTTTGGGCACTGACCACCTCTCAGAAATTCTAGTGGCCTGAGAGATGCTCCACGCGGGGAGACACCACCTCCAGGCAGGAACTGACCTCTCCTCCCGCTCCCGCTTCTGCTTCCGGGCATGGCGGTCCATCACACTGGTTTTAGTCCTTGTCTTCTTCCAGGAGTAGTAAAATTTCACCAGACTTGCTATAGATTTGTCAGGAAGCTGAACATAAAAACTGAGTTGGTTTCGATTTAGAGCTGATCGTTACAAATCAAGTGCGCTTAGGCTTAGATACAGTTAATAAGGGTCATCTCACACACACAGAAATGTCGTAAGGCACAACCCTTTTCTCTGAGAAGAAGATTCAAGAAGAACTCTCATCAATACATTTCCCAACTACTGCAGTGTGGTTGCAAGTGAAACTCAGCCCAGGGAAGATGGCCACAGGCAGGCTGAGATGAACCCAAGTTTTTACACACCTAACGGTTCTAGCCTAACTTCTAGGTTATTTTTTAAAAATTCATTTTAGCAGTCACGTAATCAATAAAAGCTTTCCTGGTAGGAGCCCACCAAATAGCCTTCTAGGATATAAGAGATAAGCAAACCTTCCCCACGCAGCTAGGGCTCCATGACACTCCACACCTCATCAAACAACCATCAAAGACGCTATCGGATTAATGCGGGGAGTCCTAACAAGAGACAGGGCTGGCGGTGGCGGGGGCTTGTGTTACAGCTGCTGTCAAGCCAGGAAGTGCTGGGAGATGCTTCGCCCCTGTAATCGGAGGCCTCCCATCCACTCCACAGCAAGCACGATCTACTCTATCTGAAGGGAGCTGTATTCCAAACGGGAGTATCTGCTTATGGCCGACACCTCTATCTTTCAGGTATGCTGCAGGGACAGAGGTCAGGGAGAAACAGAAAAATCAGCGGTTTCATCTACTCACCATTTGTTGGATTCTATGAAAAGTTTTCCCATGAAAACTAAAGGCTTGCTCAAACAAGACTTTATCTTCCACAGTCCACTCATCTGGGAAGGGGGTAAAGTTGGGCAAATCAGCCAATGACTTTTCAATATTATGCTTATGCCAAAAGAGCATCCCAAGAGCCTAGAAAAATAGTATCAGTGAAATTTTAGACCAAAGACGTGAGTGAAACATTAAAATGGAAATGGGGTTGGTGAAAGGAAAGCCTGTGCCCCCTGCAGCCGGGGAAATGCTGCTCTGTGGCTGATGCGTGCGCGCTCCACAAAGCTCACTGCTCAGATTAGGACACGGTGGCCCTGGGCGCCTGGGGGGCTCAGTCAGTTGAGCTTCTGACTTCGGCTCAGGTCATGATCTCGCAGTTTGTGGGCTCTGTGCTGACAACTCAGAGCCTGGACCCTACTTCGGATTCTATCTCTCTCTCTCTGCCCCTCCCCCTCTCATGCCCTGTCTCGGTTTCTCAAAAATAAATAAACATTAAAAACGAAACAAAACAAAACATGGCAGCCTTGAGAATTAAGTCCTTGATGGCGGTCCAGGGCTGGCGCAGGTGGCAAAAGCAGTGAGGCTCTAGAATTTGTGCTCTTTAAGTTTATTTATTTTTGAGAGAGGGCATGTGCACAAGTGGGGAAGGGGCAGAAAGAGAGAGGGAGAGAGAATTCCAAGCAGGCTCCACATTGTTGGTGCAGAGTCGATGTGAACCCATGAACCACGAGATCATGACCTGAGCTGAAACCGAATTGGTCGATTAACCGACTGAGCTCCCCAGGCCCCCTTGGAGCCTACGCTCCTAAAAGGCCACGCTTGAATGCCTCTGTTACAAAGGATAAAGTAATTCACAAAAGCACTTAGTTGTTTTGTTATTCTTTTCCTGAAAAAGCTAAAATATAAAGAGGGGTTGTTGGTTTTTCTTGTAACCCAGAAGGGAGAAAATATTCAAATGGGTGACAAATAGGAAATGAGAGGTAATTCAGCAATTTTTTTCCTGAGACAACTTCCTGTAATTCCAAAGTGAGACCAATCATACTTTTGAAGGCCAGGCTCCTTAAAAATTCATCTGAGTACACGGGGCGCCTGGGTGGCTTAGTCGGTTAATCGTCCGACTTTCGCTTAGGTCATGATCTCGCGGTTCGTGGGTTCGAGCCCCGCGTCGGGCTCTGTGCTGACTGCCGGCTCAGAGCCTGGAGCCTGTTTCAGTCTGTGACTCCCTCTCTCTCTGACCCTCCCCT